TTAATCTTGTAACTTGCAAGACAAGGGGACTGGTAACCCCCTTGCCAAGTTGGGTGCAAGCAATTTTTATCTGATTGTGTGCAGGTGTTGTTTACATCATTAGCTTGGTGACTCCTACTGGTTCGATAATCCTTCGTTCTTAACTAAGGGAAATACTTTCTACTACTATGCTACATCACCTTTCCTCTTCGGGGAATCCAACAACTCCTAAGGGAGTAGCACACCACATGCAAGGAAGTTCCAGACCTTGACTCCCACCGCCTAGGAGCCCAAATATCCAAACAAATCCTCAATGAAATCAACGTGGAATCCAAATTGGCTTGGTGGAAGTGTAGATCGGGTGATCCTCGCTTTTCCCTCTAAGGATTACATTGTTTTGGCGGAGGAAAGTGGGGTAGATCGGTATTTTGAAGTTACAAAAATGGAGTAAGAGACAGAAAGAGCCCAACTCAATAGAGTGGGGAAGGATATACCCCTTGGGGAATATGAAGTGGGCCTTTTATAGCACGCTTGAAAACCTGCATGTTTGAGTGTCCTGCCACATCTTGGTATGTCCTCTTGGAGGGTCCGGAGGCTACCATCGGGTGGTCCCGGATTCAGGACTACTCCGGGCATTGCGTCTAACTGACACGACAACCATCTGATGTCAATCGGAACCACAGTCGAGATGCCGAATGCCAGAGAAAACACTAGAAGTCTCGGATTTTGATGCAACCCCCAACACATACTCCAGTTGGGCAACAGAAGCCTCTACTGCCAGCTGGAGTTGGAGCCTGATTTAGGTAGTTCTTCCGGAACCTCCGGCAGCTACCACCAAAAAGTGTATAGTGATGTTTTGCAAGTGCACCAGGCTTAGTTGTAACCTTTTCAAAGTAGGAATATCCATCCCACATGGAGGACATGAAATGGTTGTCAGGATGTGCTCAAGTTAGTTGCGGTCCAAAGCAAAAACGAAAGTTGAAATATTGCAAGGTGTTGTGACTAAAAACTAAGTGCACAAGAATAAGGTAAAAATAACAAGAAAGTAATGGAAATGATGAAATAAACAATACGACTAAGGCGTTGTCATGGTATTTGGATTCACCACTAGTAAGTATGTTATGTAATCATGCGAATGCATAATTCTAGGTTTGGATAACTAATCCACCTGATATGTTTGTAAGTGAGCGAACCCAAGCACAGATATGTGCATATACGCAGCAACCACGCATCACACGCCACCATCGTTCCTTCCGACATTCAGGTTACGACAACGACCACTAATGGTCTCCCATGTACGTGGCTAATGGGTGGTCTCTATTATTATTCTATCCAAGGTCAGCGGTGTCTCAAGGAGGGAGATAGCTTCTATCACCATTGTACCTTCGCTCCCTACTTCACTCTGATAGTAATATCCTTCATTACCATCAAGGAAAATGTTGTGCGGGCGACTAACACACAACATCAAGAAGAATATTGACATAAATCATATATACCTAAGAGATTCATCCTCACTACCTTAGTTATCTCAACATGCAAGCATGCCACCTCACCGTACAATTATGAATCGGACCCCACCTCAACATGCAATCATGCATGGAAAAAGTTCCACCACAACATTGAACCATGCATGGGGAAATGTTTTCATTCAATTATTCTTCCTTATTTCAACAAATTGTATACAACTATACATAATCAAATATAATAAGTCTCTATTTTAAATTTCGGTTCACATGTTATCAACCTAAAGTTTCATCAACCAATTCCCGCAACAACGTGCGAAGTATCCTCTAGTATACAAAGAGAACTGTGTATCTTATCAGCTCATACACACATCAGGGTTCCTTCATGTCATATAGAACTAGGAAGTTTACTTGGACAAGGAGACTGCTACTCCCGTAGGAGTTGTTGGATTTTCCCGAAGAGGAAGGGTGATATAGCACAACAACAAAAAGTATTTCACTCAGTTAAGAACCAAAGTTTAATCAAACCAGTAGGTCTCAACAAGCTAACATGATAAGCAGCACATGCACACAAATAAAATAAAAGCTTGCACCCAACTTGGCAAGGGGGTTGTCAATCCGCTCATCTCGCTAGTTACAAGATTAAAAGCAAATAGTGGATGGATAATGATATAGTGGAATAGCAAAATAATGAAAGTAAATAAAAGAGCAATTGTGTAAATGCAAGTATAAATAGAGAATGGATCCATGGGCCATAGGTTCACTAGTGGCATCTCTCTCGAAAGCAGGTAATGGCATGGTAGATAAATTATTGTTGGGCAACTGATATCAAAACATCATTCATAATTATGATCATTCATGGCATAATCTTGTATAGGCATTACATATGTGATAAGTAGACCGTTATCCAACTGCATCTAATACTATTACTCCATCCCAAAACCACTATCCAACATGCATCTTAAGGTATTAAGTTTAATGGAAAATAGAGCAATGCAATAAGCAACATGACATAATATAGACGGGAAAATAATCTAGCAATAAGATTAAACCCCATCATTTTACCTTATAGGAAACAATACAAATACGTGTCTTGTCCCTTTCTGTCACCGGGATATAAAACACCGTAAGATTGAACCTAATAATATGCGCCACTCCCTCTGAAGAATTACCCATCTATCTTGGCCAGAGAAGACAAGTAACTCGGAAAGCATACATAGCTACTCAATTACACATCAAAGAAACTTCAAAAGATTCAAATATATTCAATGAACAATCTGATCACAAATCCACAATTCATCAGATCCCAACAAACACATCATAAGAATTACATCGGATT